TCCTTAATGAGAACGGAATAGATTGTGCGTCTCATGGATTCTCAATGAAATTATTAAAAAAAAAAATACTAATGATGTAAAAATATGGACCTCATTGTTGTTTGTTCATTGATAAATGAAATAATTTAAATATTCAGTGAAAAAATTAAGTGCAAAGTTATGATAGGCAAGGGTGCCTCTTCCAAAATCTTGAATTCAATGGCCCTGGGTCAAAGATTGTGGTTCATAGGGTGGGTCTCTATTGATTTTATAGTGAGAATGCATTAGTTCTCTGAGAATCTTCCTCTCTGCTCTTCGGTATTAATGAAACAAACTAAGTGCATGGTTAAGCACGGGTGCTTCTTCCACAATCCTGAATTTCATGGCCCCAGGATCAGGGGTTCTGGTGTTAGGGTGGGGTTCAATTGATCGTATAATAAGAATGCATAAATTCTAGCTTTGAAAATCGTCTCTGCTCCTTAGTATTTAGCAGATAAACCAAATGCATAGTTATGATGAGCAAGGGCACATTTTCTAAAATTGTGAATTTCTTGACCCCAGGGTCAGGTTTCATTCACATAGTTTACCGCTTTAGGGCTCTATTGATTATCTAGTGAAAATGCACAAATTCTTTGAAAATCTTCTCTGCTCCTGAGTAGATAAACAAAAGTGCATGATTATGATGAGCAAGGGTTCTTCTTCCAAAATTATGAATTTCATGCTCTAGGGTCAGGGGTTCTGGTGTTAAGGCAGGTCTCAGTATACCAGATGGTAAAAATGCATACATTCTTTAAATATCTTTTTTCTGCCCCTTGGTATTGACAGACAAACTACATGTAATTGTTATGATGATCAAGGATTCCTCTTCCAAAATTATGAAATTCACATCCCCCGGGTCAGGGATTTTTAATTTAGTGAAAATGCATTAATTCTTTGAAAATCTTCTCTGCTTTACACTAAATGCATGGTTATGTCAAGCAAAGGTGTTTCTTCCAAAAATTATTAGTTTCTTGGCTCCTGGGTCAGTGGCTCTGGTGTTAGGGTGGGGCTCTAATGATTATACAGTAAAAATGCATCAATTCTTTTAAAATCTTCTCTGCTCAGGGGTATTTTGCAGATGTGTATACTAGTAGTTATGATGAGTGTTCCTCTTCTAAAATTGTGAATTTCACCCTTTTTTAAGGGTGGGGCTGTGTTGAATGCATAATGGAAAATCTTCTGCTCTGTTCCTGGGCATCTAGGAGGCAAACAGAGTACAAAGGGCATATTTACCAAATTTGTGAAATTCTGGACCACTTGGTTATTTCAGGCCTGTAGGAAGCAATTTTAGTTTTTTTTTTGGGGGGGGGGGGGGGGGGGGTACAGCCATACATTTTCAGTTGAGGGGGCACTAACAACTACCTAAAATTCTTTGATAAGCCAAAAAAAAAGGTCATCAGACGTTTTTATTGAGGGGGCACATGCATACAGTATCTATGTTTTCTATAGTAATCTATTGCCCTGTTCACACGGAGAGTTTAATTCGCAGTAAATTAATGCGAAGTAAAATAATGCGAATCAAAATAATGCGAATTAAATTGCGTTCACACGACAGCTAGTGCGAAGTAAACTAATGCGAATTAAATTTTTTATTTTTACAATAAGGCTATTCGGTAAGACTATTATGACGTCATTTGCAAATCATGTCACATTATGCAAAGCAGATCCATTTGACATAATATTATAGTGTCTGTACACATTTTAGCGATTAAGAATGGATTCTTCTCATATTTCCTATAATGGCAGAATCTTGATTTTCTGAATACTCAATATTCAGACTGTTTACACTCTTTTAACATCCAAAAACTTTGGTGTCATCGACCTTGATTTACAGTCAAGGTCATTTGAAAGTCAGTCCTAAAAATAGTACTTTTACACAGAGAAGTTTTGAAATTTATGCATATGAATAAATTTTGCTGACTGAAAAAATATCTTTCACAATAAAATTAAAGTTGCTACTTATTTTTGATGACTAATTCATATGAAATGAGCTGGTGAAAAGATAACATGAAATCCTTTATATTCAATAAATATATTTAATCCGAATTTCCTCGAAATTTTTTCAAAATTCTCAGTTTTTATGAATTCACATGAAATTTCATCTCAATTTTTACAATTGACCATATAATGTCAAATATTTAGATTTTTGTCTGATGAATATTCAAAGGTTCAAGATTAATTTACAAGGTAAAAAAGATATAGTAATCAGGCAAATTATCGAAAAAAAAAATTAGCCCGAATTTGCTCTATACTTTCAGAAATCTTCATTTTACAGAGTGTTTTAAATGTCTATAAAAAAAATTTTTAATCCCCAAAAACATATCAATTTGGTGTAATTGTGACATAAATAAATTCATTTCTCCCAGTTATACATTCTATTTTTATGGTATATTACACTAATGATATTCAAAATATTCATTTCGAATTTCCTCTGTCATTTTATTCTTATGAATGTTATGTTTGACAATTTTATAAAATACATCAATTTTCTAGTGGCAATTACAGAAAAATTATCACATAAATTCTTCACATGCACAGGACTAATTCAAAGCAACTTAACCTTTAATATAACCAGGAATAAATAATAAACCTTCCAAAAAGTTATGAGAAAAATCATACATAAAATTTTCATAGACTAGAAAAGATTTCAATACATTATTTATGACATAAACATGAAATCAATATACATGTATAGTGAACATGCCATTCAAAGCTTAATATATGAATATTAGAGGAACTAATATATATGCCTATACATGTATATGTAGTTATATACATATAGGTCCCTGGTATTATGTTATTATTGGATATTTTACATTTGTAAACTGAGTTTTGAAAACAACAAGCAAATTCAAAGAATTGTGGTCCCCCGCTTTCGATGTCTTAGTGGATGGGATGCCATTATTTATGGCATATTTTAACTGTCTTGTTTGTTTGTCCTGTCTTATCTGTGCATCATACAAAAAAAAAACACATAAATTATTGAATTAATAACAGTTATGGCAAAGACTATAGCTTCTCAAAACTACATCAAACTTCAAGATCAAGGTCATGAGGTCAAATATCATAATAAAATCCAAAAGATCTTCTCACAAGTGATGCACATGTAAAAAAAAATATCAGAAACCAGAGTATACAATCAGAAAGGTCTTGAAACAGGTAATGCACATGTCAAATGTAAATACCATCTCTTCTCTCAGTCAAATGTTATTAGCAATGATAAACTTTTTAAAAATTAGGTCAAACTTCAAGGTCAAGGTCATGGGATTAAAAATCATTGTACATTTGGAAATGCTTGTCACAGGTAATGCACTTGTCAAATATGAATGCCCTATCTTTACTCCTTCAAAAGTTAGCAAACTGATGAAATGTTTGAAAATTAGGTCAAACTGGAAGGTCAAGGTCACGGGGTCAAATATCATAGCATATTCAGAAACATTTTGACACAGGTAATGCATTTGTCAAATATGAACACCCTATCATATGTCATTCAAAAGTAATCACCAAATATAAAATTTTTGAAATTTAGGTCAAACATGAAGGTCAAGGTAAAGGGGTAAAAAATTATAGCATGCTTGGAAACACTTTGTCACTACTAATGCACATGTTAAATATGAAAGCCCTAACTATTCTAAATCAAAAGTTATAAGCAAAGATAAAAATTTTGAAAAGTAGGTCAAACTTCAAGGTAATGGTCATGGGGTCAAAAATCATAGTACACTTGGAAAGGTATTCTTACAGGTAATGTTCATATTTAATATGAAAGCCCCATCTTTTCTCATTTAAATTTAATGACCAATTTAAAGAAATGTTAATTTTCTGCAAAGTAGGTCAAACTTCAAGGTCAAGGTCACGGGGTCAAAAGTCATAGTATAATTTCAAAAGGTCTTGTCACAGGTAATAAACAGGCATAATATGAAAGTCCTATCTTTTCTCATTCAAAAGTTATGACCAATTTAAGGTAATGTTAATTTTTTTGAAAAGTAGGTCAAACTTCAAGGCCAAGGCCACGGGGTCAAAATTCACAGTATATTTGAAAAGGTCTTGTTACAGGTAATGTACATGTGAAATACAAAAGCCCAATCTCTTCTCACTCAAAAGTTATGGCCAAGGTTAAAGTTTTTGTGACAGACAGCCCGACAGACGAATGAGATTTAATGTCCCCTCTCTTTCGCGAAAGCGAGGGACAATAAATACCTACACACATTTATAAGTATATAGTTTGTTCAGCACCAATAAATATAACTCCTCATTGTGATCACATATTGCGTAAAATTTGCTGGAGTTTTAAGATAACAAAAGCCATCTATGACAATCAAATGCCCTTTGACATCTTTGCCTGAAAATGACATCCTTGAACTTTGTAACAATAATATGCATGCAGCTATCAAACTTAATTTCACATTTAGATGCAAAATACTTATTCAAGGATGAAATTTCTTTTTAAGAATTTGTAGCACAAACATTTATTGATCAGTGTCAATAACTTATATTGAAATGAATTAAAAATTACTTCTTGAGGGTTTCTACTGCAAGTACATGTATGTAGTTCATTTGTAAAAATCTAAATTTTAACCCGGCCACTACCAGCAATTTTGTTCGGTATGCTCTTGCTTAAAATCACCCTTTAACTAAATGATCTAAAGCAGGCACATTTTTATGTATTCCAGAACTGTATTTTAAGATTTTAACTGTATTTGAAAATGTAAAACAACTGAATACATAGAGCTAGGTATATATCATTTACAAGTTGTTGTAATGCCAGTACATGTAAATCTTCACATTGTAATCTAATGAAAGATAATGCTTGAAAAATTCACTCTGGGAGTAAGATTTCAAATCTGAATCAAAGATTTTGCAAAGTAATCACATTCTACAAAGTGTCCACTGTATCGGGTACTTGGGAATCACATAATTAAACATTATATAATTATAAATAAAACTATTTTTGACTGAAAGTTCCTGAAAAAAATCAAGAATGGAATCATGCAACAAGCAGCAGTGACTATGATAACATATTGCATTGACTTCCATATTTCTACAAAAACATTTCTTTGATCAGATAAATATGTAATTCCTGCCTCTGATCTGTGATATATTCTGAGAAAATCTCTTTTCCACAGACAGCCATCATTCATTTGATGTGAGAATTTCTTGCTGAACATGTGTCCACCTGATGAAAGTCCAAATTTTTTGTTGACCTATAATTTAAAAAAAAGTAATATATTTTACATAGCAACACAGATGCTGCATTACATGATAGTTAGATAAAGTTGTGTCCATATTTCTTATACATGTACCTCAATAGTCCATCTGCCAGCACTCCTTGCTCAATCATCCTGCATTCTGACCTCCAGTCTTTTTTCTAGTCTAGGGTAAAGTAGGGTTGATTTTCTCCTAAGAATTAAACATGAACATCCCTTAGACTATTTTTCTAAATTAAATAAATGGAAATTGATTATAAGATTAAACAACTTATCTCATCTGTATTTCATTTATTGATTTAAATGAATGAAGATATTTTAATAGATTCTACCATATGCATAATGTCTTATATTATAATGTATTGGATATAAATAAATAGACATTTTTTATCCTAAAAGTACAGAAAAGTAAAAAAAAAAACAATAAATATAAATAGTTTTTTAACAATAATGTTTCATTTTGCTCTATTTATTAGACAATTGTGTGTTTCAATATTATTGATATTTCCACATACAATATCAAGTTATTTTTCCGTTTGATTTGTACCCAAGCGGGACACCTTACTTTTTTAATAACTTGATGATTGTTGTGTCTTGAACAAAGTAGGCTAGTTAAAATATAAAATTTGTTGTAATCATATACAAAAAATGCTATTTTTGTGAATTCATAAACCTGACGAACACACGAAATATATCCTCTTCAAATGTTGACAAGTCGCGGGAATAAGCAGACGAAATATTGATAACAGGGCTATAATTTCCGTGCGAATTCCCATAAATCAATACAAACCAGCATGTAATTGAATTCAATTTCAAAATTATAAAAATCTTCAGACATATATAACTAACTTACATGCTCACTGCACACGACATGACTTCAGACGAGGCAACGTGGATCTGCAATCTTGCACATGTTTGTGACCTAGCTTCAAGTTCAAGCTTCCCTTTTGGCTGATCGGAATTTCCCGAGCATAAATAACTATGATTTAATTTGTCATAACTGTCCCTGGGTTTCTGCAATGCTTCGATAATGTTCACAGTTTGTTGATTTTACAAAACAACCCTCTCGGGGTTTGATCTGGACATGTTGACATTCGCTACCGAACTGCGAATATTATGACGATTGTCGCAAATCAAAGAAAATATTACGAAAAATTTATTAATTTCAAAAGAAATAGATTCAACATTACTTAAACTGACAAATTAACTAATAGTTTTTCCTTCAGTATAATTAAATATGAATTTTGCATTTTACGACTTGCATAATTTATGGAGACCCATTGACGACGTAAAATGCTGACAAGAATCCATCCTTAACATAATTTTCCTTTATTTTTCACTCAAAAATAGCACAAGTATCAAAATTTGACCATCGACAAGTGGCCTGTGACTTAATTCTGCCCTTACGCATGCGTCAAAATTTAATTCGAATTAGCTTCGCTTAGCGTTCACACGGAGCTAATGCGAAGTAATTTAATGCGCAGTAAACTAATTCGAATTAAACTAATTCGCATTAAATTCTCCGTGTGAACGCGGATCAAATTTAATTCGCAATATCTTACGGCTCAATTCGAATTAAACTCTCCGTGTGAACAGGGCATATATATCGGCCAAATTATTGGGGGGGGGGGCGCCCCCCCCCCGTTCCTACGTCCATGTATTTTAATGTTCAATGTTTTCAAACTGTCAGATAGATCTTTTATAGTTAAAGTTAATGTTCGGACAAGTAAATTTCTGAGTGGACAAGGAAGAAAAAAAATTAATGTAGAGCCCTGTTCTTCATATGCTGGATCTGACATCCATTATGTATTAAGATGATTGACCAGGTTAAAGTTTTAAACCAACTTGCATGGATAATGAATCTTGGGATGCATACTTCCTCGGATGCTGGATCTGACCTACATTTTCCGGATGAGTGACCATCTACCTATCCAAGGGACAATAATATATAATATATATATAATACTAGTACTCCAAAGTCCGATGGTCCCGCCAAAGTCTGATGGTCTCGCCAAAGAACGATGGTCTGCACCAAACTTCAAACCAGTGGTACGGACGCCTAAGTCGGATGGTCACGCCAAAGTCAAATCGCTTGTTTCCTATGAGACGCACAGCGCTAAAATGCCATGATCCGATATGCCAAAGTCGGATGGTGCAGAGGTACAATAAACATTTATGACGTCTCAGTATCTAACTTCAATCCTTGACGCGGCTGTCCTGCATTTAAAAGCCATCGAGGGTTAGTCCTCGCATACAATATTTAATCGTATTTATTTTAAAATCTTGGCATGGCGCGGCATCGCAATTTGGTGCAGTTGTACAAATGTCACAAACGTTAATTGTTTTTCCGCACCATCGGACTCTGGCGTGCCAAACCAGCAGGGTTTGGCGCAGACCATCGGACTTTGGCGTGACCATCGGACTTTGGAGTCCCATCGCAATTTGGAGTCCTACATATATATTAACAATCTTCAAACTTGAATCTACATTACCTCAGGATGCTTGCATAAAAAAATGAGACTAATCATGGCCACGTTGTTGTCTATCAGATTTTTTCCTATATATTCCCATGTAAAACTTTGTTGCCTTTGGGTCAGGTGAGCTAAAAATTGTTCACAGATAGAACATAGAAATGAAGGATTGACACTTATGCTCTTCATGTCTTGAAACAATTGATTCAGAATTGCTATATTTCAAACATTATACCACAGGCTCCACACTCAAATAGTTCACTACATTTTCATTGCAGGAATTTTATTTCTTCACACTCAGAATTCTAAACTGCTGAAGAATTCATTACAAGAATAGTCTTCACCTGTCGCTTAAAAAATGACATGCTAAAATATATGAACATGTATATCAACACAAAGATTAAGGTTCATTGACCCTCTGATAAGAGAGATAACTCTTACTGGAATAAATGTCTATTACCGGTATTCCTTTACAAAATTTTCAAGTTAATAGGCCATTTATGTCAAGCTCTGCCCTGCAAGGTAGGCCAAAATTGTCTGCATTTTAATTATAAATTAGATTTCTTTTGAAAAATTGTGAGTATTAAAGCATAATATTATACATGAACAAGGGGTTGATGAACCTTAATAGATATTGAAGAAGTAATGAAGACATGATAACTAAAAAAGTTTGTATTAGTCATGACACATGTATACGATAAAAAGACCCCAAATGCACCTTTTATATACCATGTCATCTACCCAATTCTTGTACAAGGATTGTACACCAAATTGTCAATTTACTGCATGGAAAATCACCGTAAATTGTAATTCTGTCTTATAAGGAATACACTGTCCTAATTTTTGTAACCACTAGTACATCACAATAATTTAGGGATGGCAACGGATATTCGAATATTCGTTCGATGAGTTGATATTCGAATATGAATTTAAGATTCGAATATTCGGTGTTTTTCAGATTTCATAAAAAGAAGTACTGTGATTAATAAATTTTGATTAGATCAGTGCTGGAATTATCTCTGTTTAATTTACTAGCGATCAATTTCGATCGCCTGATTTCTTTCACTACTTTCTTAGTTTATAAATATACTAAATAACATGTATTTTGTTTTGAGTAAGGTGTTAAAGAATTGTACAATAATGCTTTATGTATAATACAAAACGTACTTTCGTAGTTTTTATTAGTAAGATACGATCGGATCTAGAATCAAGGACAACAAATGAAATCTAAGAATGTCTAAAAGGCGTGAAGAGTGTACTAATCAAAATAAAATTAATTGATCATTGAATGAATGTCCGATAGAATTAATCTCTAGTTAATATTGTAAAGAGCTATCGCGCTTCATGAAATATGCCTACGTGACAAGTCTGTGTGATTTACACACCAATAACTCACACAAAACTTAAAAACATTCCTTAAATAAATGTGTAAATTATTTGATTATCTCGGGTTGTACATAATCCTGAATTTTATATTCATTATCGGGAAATTAGTTAATTATCTAGGAAAATTGTCTATGGAAATATTTGTTTTCATTGTATCAAGATTATATCTCTTATCAGGCAGATAATTGTAATTTATTACACGTATTGAAATCTGAACAGTATACCGTTATGACTATCTTGCCTTTTGTAAGACGACTGGTTCCTCAGTTGGAACTACTATAAATACACGTTTCATTTGTTAAAATTATACTTTTCTACATTTAAATCAATTATTTATTTCAAACATTGACAAATATCAAATGGAATTTCTTATTGTACACCTACAAAAGTCTTCGTACAATTTTACTTCCAATATAAGTATACCTACGCTAAACCTTTCATGAGAGTAGGATGATGCATATTTAAAAATAAAACAGATTTAATTTATTTTATTGAATATTCGAATATACATGTATTTGAATACTTTCATTGAATATTCAAATATGAATTATTGACAAAATTGACATCCCTACAATGATTACATAAGCAGAATTAAAGACCAAGTTTTCATTACTATCTACATATCAGTGCTTGCCCAATACACTGTAGATAAGGAGTTCAATTCCAACAAGGTCTCAGTTTCTTCCTATTGTGATTTTTCACTACAAGTATCACTAAATCATGCATTTTAAAAAGTTTTTAATATCACAAACATATCACAAACATATGAATTTTTATCAAATATTTTCAATCCATTACAGTTTTATCAAGTGGGTTATACCTCCTTAAATAATATTTTGCTAACTGAATGAAAAGAAAAAATGTGGTCTGATGGACTTTAAACACAACAATACATTTATATATCTGTGAAAGAATTGTTCTTTTACATGGCTGTCAATTCACATAAGATACATCATAGCACTGAAATGTTATTCCTTGAAGCAATGAAATATTTCTCATACCAATGAAATATCATTTGTTTGACCACAAATGAGTCTAACAAGGAGCTTATACATAATTTTAAATCTATGTAAATAAATTCACTGTTCACTTTCTTCTGCCTCCTCCACCATTGGCCAGAATAATGGCAATTCTGATGAAAATATTAATTGTGTCCATGTAAATTCCAAGACATCTGAAATAAAATAACCTTAATTTTTATTCAATTTTTTTTTCTTTCATGAAACAGAAACTCAAATATGACTAAAAAGAGAGAAAAATGATAATCTTTCTTATACTTTCTGTTATCATAGACAGTGAAACTACATGTACTTTTAAACATAAATTGTAACAAAGTCACTATTTTTCAATTTAGATAAAACAAAATTATTGAAAAATTCTGTATTCATGTACTGTGGTGCATAGTAGGAAATTCACAAATTTTTTTTACAATCCCCCAAGTTTAAAGTAAAAAAAAATGTACATTCTGAAAACTGTGTTTACTAAATTATGCTAGAAATCCCCTCAAGTTGTGTGAGTCTTGTTAAAAGTTTGTAGTCTCAGGCTTATGGGATTTCTTTCTACAATGTATGTTGTTACAGAGCAATTGAATTTCCTACATTGTGTGTTGTTACAGAGCAAGTGTTGACTTACGCATTGATAGGGTCAAATTTCTGTGCACTGTACACAGGGTGGCTCTCTGCCCTCTTGATAACTTTCTGTGTGTCATACAACAGGAACATGCTGAAGAGGATCAGCCCTCCATACAAACTCATAGAATACAATCCAGCACCCAGGGCTGTGGTGGGTGGGAGAAACATGCTTCCTGATTCAGAAAAATAAAACTTTAAATTCAAGAAGTACTGGTATGTTCTTCGTTAAGAAGTATGTTACCGCTGCTGAAAGAAGGGTACATATCACAAAATTAAATATCCATCTAAAATCTAACACTATAAGTGTCTGTATGAATGGGTTATTTTCTCTATTTGAAAATCAGATTTTTTATTCTTAATAAATATTACAACTAATATCTGAGGAAATATAAACACATACTGTATATATCAATTCAAGCTGTCATATATGGACAAAACAATCTTGGATTATAAAATTCAAGAATATTTTTGACAAACCCCATATATATTTGGTACCTATACTTTCAACACAAATATTTTCTATTAAGTCTTGTTGCTGCATGTTTTAATCAATCAAAATGCAAAATTTCCATGCTGATTTTTTTTGGCTACATTATGGCATGAAAGATTATTCACAGAAGTACATATCCTGCAATTTTCATTCCAGATAAAGATGATTTGCAAAACCTGACAAGTGGAAAGCTGTCAAAGTTTTCTTCTTGCACTTGCAAGAGTTATTTCCCTTTGTTGCAAAATGTCCATTTTTCTCACTTTATTCTTTGTAAATTACTCTTAAAATTGTTTAAATATTTAAACATCTTTTGACAATTTTATACCATACTTTATTGGGAAAGTATGGGACAACAAAGGAAACATGATGAACATACACAGTTCATATGGATTTTATATATTGGATACTGCTCCATAAAGTTGGTTACGTTGACAGCAACAGTTGACCATAGATTGAACCCAGAAAGGGAAATAACTCTTATAAAGGAGAACGTCATTTATTATAAAAACTTTCTATTCTGAAAAATGTAGGTGACATTTCAACAAAATTACCATTAATGTACCTTATTAGCATATTTTGAATAGAAATGACTAAGTTCAACAAATGGCATTTTCCCAATATGTGATAAAAAAAAAATTCCAAGTACTATGCACATCTTTGATATACATGTATGTACAGTTGATCTGCAAAATGAAAACATCTTATCTTGAAAACTTTAGGAAGAGTTATCCACACAAATATGGTACCCTATTTGTCATATTTTGCCAAAAAATGACTAAGTTCAACAGCTACACATGTATTTTTCTCATAAATTATCAAAAAAAAAAAAAACAAACAAAATTCCAAGCAGTATGCACATCTCTGATATATGTATAATTGACCTGCAAAATAAAAAGGTTCCTATCTTGAAAACTGTAGGAGGAGTTATCCTGACAAATGGTGTACCTTTCTGGTAGCCGCCCACCCACCCACTTGCCAGCCTGCCATTTTCACCATTTCAATAACTGGATTTTTCCTAAAGAAAATCTGGTAAAGAAACAGTAAAATTTACACACACACAAATGTTTGCATTCTACATTGTACTTACCTACTGATGAAGCAAAGACAACACCTAACCCAATAGCAAGAGGGCCTCCCATGTTCAGGAATTTCTCACTGGGTGCACACATAGCAAGGGCTGAGAGACCTTTTAAATGAAGGAAAAAATCCATTCTGATTATATGTTATATAGATAAATTAGTTCCTCTCCTGGTATTACCGTTATTTATTAAATAAATATAGCAAGGGCTGAGAGACTTCTTAAATGAATGAAAAAAAACCCATCTTGATTATATGTTATATGGATAAATTAGTTCCTCTACTTGTATTATATATTAATACTGGGAGAATTCTGAAGTGCAAAATTTCTCTTCCAAGAAGAAGGGATTTTTTTCTTTCTCAGCTTACTTTTATTTCAAAATGTAAACATCATTCTGTATTTCAACATCATGTGGAAATCAGCTTTGTTAAAACTGTGCAATGTTCATGAAAAGATTAGATGGTTATGTATAATAATATTATATTCTTTGATTTTTTAACCTACAAATATTTTAAAATTCTCCTCACTCACCTCCCACAACCCCTGCAGTGTACCAAGCAGCTCTGACCATTAAGGGGCCTCCTAACATTGTGATGGGGGCCACAACTCCTCCGATTACAGCGCTGTGTAGCATCCAGGCTAGATGTTTAGCTCCAAAGCCCTCTTTGTATGGGATTGACTGTGTCATAATGCTGGTTCCAATCATAGCTGCTATACTGCCAAAAATGGCCTGTAATAATAATAAATTACTAAAATAAAGTACACTGTAGCTGAATAAACAATAAACAAGAGGCCCATGGGCCACAGCACTCACCTGAGTAACTTTGGCCTTGCTGTTTTTCACCTGATTTCTCCCCCCCCCCCCCCCCCCGTGGTGTACTTATTGTGGCCCTGCCCTATCCCCAGGGGTCATGATTTGAACAATTGGAATCTACACTACCCCAGGATGCTTCCACATAAGTTTCAGCTTATCTGGCCCAGTGGTTTTTGAGAAGATTTTTAAAGATTTTTCCTATATATTTCAATGTAAAACTTGGATTCCCTATTGTGGCCTCGCCCTACCCCCGGGGGTCATAATTTGAACAATTTAGAATCTACACTTCCCCAGCATGCTTCCACATAAGTTTCAGCTTTTCTTGCCCAGTGGTTCTTGAGAAGAAGATTTTTAAAGATTTTTCCTATATATTTCAATGTAAAACTTGGATTCCCTATTGTGGCCCCGCCCTACCCCCGGGGGTCATGATTTGAACAATTTAGAATCTACACTACCCCAGCATGCTTCCACGTAAGTTTCAGCTTTTCTGGCCCAGTGGTTCTTGAGAAGAAGATTTTTAAAGATTTTTCCTATATATTTCAATGTAAAACTTGGATTCCCTATTGTGGCCTCGCCCTACCCCCTGGGGTCATGATTTGAACAATTTAGAATCTACACTACCCCAGCATGCTTCCACATAAGTTTCAGCTTTTCAGGCCCAGTGGTTCTTGAGAGGAAGATTTTTAAAGATTTTTCCTATATATTTCAATGTAAAACTTGGATTCCCTATTGTGGCCCCGCCCTACCCCCGGGGGTCGTGATTTGAACAATGTAGAATCTACACTACCCCAGCATGCTTCCAAGTAAGTTTCAGCTTTTCTGGCCCAGTGGTTCTTGAGAAGAAGATTTTTAAAGATTTTTACTACATATTTCAATGTAAAACTTGGATTCCCTATTGTGGCCCCGCCCTACCCCCGGGGGTTATGATTTGAACAATTTAGAATCTACACTACCTTAGGATGCTTCCAGATAAGTTTCAGCTTTTCTGGCCTAGTGGTTCTTGAGAAGAAGATTTTTTAATGACCCAACCCAATTTTTGTATTTTCTTGATTATCTCCCCTTTGAAGGGGACTTGGCCCTTCATTTTTAAAATTTAAATTCCCCTTCACCCAAGGTTGCTTTGTACCAAGTTTGGTTAAAATTGGCCCAGTGGTTCTTGAGAAGAAGTCGAAAATGTGAAAAGTTTACAGATGGACGGACGGACGACAGACAACAGGTGATCAGAAAAGCTCACTTGAGCTTTCAGCTCAGATGAGCTAATAATGTACTGTAATACACAGTACAGTCCATATCTAATGAGGAAAAAGAATGTACAGTAGACATCTTTTTATTCATGACAACTTTATCTTTGCAAGAGGGCCCCCTAAAAATTTCATTATCACTTATAATTAATATATACCAACAATCAAAATTTGTGAAATTTTTTGATTATAAATATCAAATAAATATCTTCCAAAAATCAGGTGTCAGAAAATTTGGTGATCTACATATCTAATCTTAATGCAAGTGCTCTTTTTATTTTGAGCAGAAAAGCACCATGAGAATTGCCAGCATTCACTGTACATGTCACTGATTTATGTTATAAAAGATAATTACTGCAATCATAGACGAATTGAAATCCCAAGCAAGGTCATTCTTACCACCCATGAATTTTTCATTGCAATATTCATGAGAGCTGGAGTTCTTGCAATGAATACAGCAGAAGCAGCGGTAAGTCCTACACTGGCCCCAAAGTAAAAGTAGGTGGAACGGATTCTCTGTTTGATTTCTTCTGACCAGAATCTTATTAAAAAAAAAACAATATTAAACTGACAATACCTGTGGCATTTTTGGTGATCAGTTTTCTCCCACAGAATGTAATTATTCTATGTACTTACATTCTCTGATCTAATGCTGACATTTCCTTGGATGCCAATCCATAGTAACAAAGTGAACCCAACCCAACAACTGCAGCCCCTGCAGTCGCTCCTTTACCAATGCTGAAAGCTGAAAAAATTATTTCTTCTACATTTAACAAACAATACTGAATTACTGTCACTTTAGCTGAATTTCTAATACTTATATTACCTGCAGTTTAGCACATACAATTCAAAACATTCATTTAGTAAATACTGTAAGTGTACTTAAAAAAAGTGGGCTTCATATTTTAGCAGCTTTGGTGCAGACAACGATGCGCTAATTTATGAATACCACTAAGAAATCATCTATAACTACAATACACGGCATGGACATGTATAGCGCTAATTCATGATTACGCCAACAACTCCATACCCAGTGATTGTGCTAAATTTTGAATACGCCAATTTATGTACACGTACAGTATAATTGATAAACAATTTAACAGTATATGTACATACAAAAGAGACAAGCATACATGATGTTAAGATAAGATGTCATATATTATACATGATGTTAGAGTAAGACATCATATATTATAAGTTTCGAATTTTGCAGTTTGTACCTGTTTCGCCTGCAGGGGCAGCTAGTGTCTCCTTGATTCCTCTTCTCTGGGCTCGTTTTGTGGCACCTGACCTGGAATCGGACGCCAGTTGCTGGATTCTGGTTCTCATACATAACTGTGGTTTGTTCAGAGGCTTGCCAATACCAGTGACAAGACTGGTAATAGGAATCCGACACAGTCTTGTAGCAAGCATTTTACTGGAGTGGTATGTATCACAGAAGGAACAAATATATTCAGAACTGAAAAAGAGAGGCACTGAATTTTCAATAAATCCAGTTGAGGATTAGATATTGAACATAGCAAGGCATAACAAATTCATCCCTATTGTTAAGTTTTTATTACTCTTTTGTCACTTGCATTTCATTCACTTTCATCTCAAAACATATTTGCTTTGAATTCCCTTGTGTTTATCAAGGCAAGCTATTTTAAAATTTGCAAATAAATTTTACTTTGTTTCTAAAATAAATTTGTGATTATTGTTCTCCTCCCTTTTATTGATTACTCTAAACCAACTTTTATTCGCATGTGAGAAATATCCATGAGTTTCGCATCCTACTTTTACTCGCGAATATTAATTGCCCCGAACCACTTACTTTGCTTTGAATTCATAGAGTATATTTCCTCAGTCACGAAAATTAATTGTCGCAGATTGATTTTAAACTGACGAATCATGAATAGAAGATGATGCGAATAATGGTTGGTTTACAGTACAAGTGTATTTGTTTTCAACATCAGTCAATTTCACAACAGTTCTTTCTGAATAGGAATGTCGAAACATCAAAAATAACATCCTTCAAGCGTTCCAAGACCACTCATAGTCCTCAGACTCCTGACAAACTTGATTTTTTTTTTCTGGCCAGCTTCTCTCATCAAGAAGCACCAACCAAATAAAGGCTTTCATAAGTTTGTTGACATAAAAAGTTAAAAGGGAGCAGTTGACATGTTAGATGTTGTTCATCTCTGAAAGGCTTAATGTGATTGTCAGATTGGTCAAAAGATAATTAAGAAAAAACAATCAATATTTGTAATTTCCCGAAAGAAGTCACTGCAGTCATTCTGTAAAACATGAACATTGTCAGGGGTCAGATAGTGGACTCAGGACCCTTGAAGTTTTGAGAATATCCAAATGACTGCAGACATTTAATCAACACTCAACAGTTCTCGTTTACTTTTATTCATAAGATGTATATTTAGTAGATGCAATAATGTAGCCCTTTCCAATTTTTTTGGGGGGTGGTGGTGGGCATGGAGAGGGTTACAATTCCATAGGATCTCCATACTGGTGCAATTGCGGGAGGGTAGACAGACGTCTCCACCCGTCACACCTGACACTTTGGCCCTGATAGGTCGGCTCAAAATTATTGACAAGTAGGTCCATATAACAGACATCTTGGCCCAGCAAAAATTATGATAGAAAAAATTATCCCCAATGTTTTAAATGATAATATCATTAACACAATTATTCTTTCTGACAATTCAATTAATTTTTTTTTGGACAAAAATCAAATTTGGGGGGTGGGAGGGTGTCTATTAAAGATATATATATTTTTTTCATTTCTTTACCTTAATCAAATTAGTCTTTCATTTAATACATCTATTTCTTGTGGAAAATATCCCACATATATATATATATATATATATATATATATATATATATATATATATATATATATATATATATATATATATATATATATATATATATATTTATATATATATTGAAGTAAAACTAAATTTCAACATACTAGCAATTCTTTCTGACAATCAATCATACATATTTCTATTATTAGAATTGAATTTTATTGTATCATTTTGCATTGTATCTCTGAGGATCTGAACATCTGAGATTAGTTGATAATCCGTGAAAAGATATACACTGTATATGGACAACATTTAAACAATGTATTTTTTTTTTTCAAAATAACTGTTAATCTGTGAATTAACTGTTGTAGTTATTTCGCACAAAAATACATAACTCGCAATTACCAGGGACCTACTTACTAACGGGATAGGCAACTCCTTCAGCGCCATATTAATTTACCAAAAATGTCTCAAACAACACTGCAAGATCTTCAAACTATGTTTTTTCCCAGTAAAAAGCTTGTTTTCTTATTAATGTAATCTGTTCTTTTTGTGTATTGGAATGGATTTTGAATAAATCTTACAGCACATATTATAAAATAATTTAGATATTGAGTAAACAACCAACAAAATCAGCGAATTCTTGGAAATACGGCCGATCAGAGGCATGCACTGATTTTTAAATAAACGTACTAATTACTACTAAGAAAAGGAGTAAAAACAGTGCTATCTGACAACAAATCTTTAATATTTTGTTGATAGATAAATTAAGGTTTTATTCTGAAATATTTCATAGCAAAAGAGATATATTTAATTAAAATTGTCTAATGACTTACGAAATCCGGCAACTTACGAGATATCACAAGACTTGCGAGAGTTGCCTATCCCGTTAGTATATATTAGGTCTCTGCATTACAAAAAATAATAAAAGTATTAAATTATGGATCTGTACGTCATTGTATTTATGAAAATATTCAGTGGAAGTAAATTATGTCCTTAATTACTGGTCACAATTAAGCCTTCTCATAATTAACAGTGATTAAACCCTCATGGTCACCAATACGACACACACTTGAGACTCCAAATTAAGGAATCACTGTGGCATCTTGTGTGTTTATCAGTTAGCACTTTAATTGTCTTCTCTTTCCTTGATTATCGTCAATGTGCTCATGGATGGTCTTTTTAAAATGACAAAAAATCTATATCGTTTATTCATTTACTTTCTTCAGTCAATCAGGGCTCGAAAGAATTGATGGCCCGCTGGTCTGGGGCCAGTGAATTTTCAATCTGGGCTAGTACATTGCAGAGGACATGTGCCCTTTGGGTCTGCATTTTTTTTATGCATAATAAAATTCATTCACAGTAGGGCTAGTTAACTTGACAGGGTTGTGTGTCCCAACTTCTACTGTTTCTTGTTTTGTTAAGTTGTACTTCTAAGTATTACAATATAAAAAAATAATACTATTATTATTATGATTTTTGGCCAGTCTTTTTAAAATCTACTGGCCCAGTAGGACAGTGAAAATACTAAACTGACAAGTAAAAATTTAAGGCGATACCCCGAGTGACCAGTAAACAAAAATAATTATTTCTAGCCCTGTCAATATTTTATTCAAGTCACAAATTGAACATGTATAATATATTTCTTAATGAAATTTTGCTTGGGCCAAGGTGTCTTATACATGGGCCTCCCTGTCTTAAATTTTGGGCCACCCCATCTGAGCTGAGGTGTCACTGGACCTAAATGTCCATTGGCCAAGGTGTCGTTGGGCCTAAATGTCTGTGGGCCGAAGTGTTGTTGGGCCGAAGTGTCTGACATTCTGTGGCAGTGGTTCACAACCACACAGAATTTTAGCTCAATTAAATTATTAAAAAGTGACTATTTTTTTAACATTATAATCTGACTTAAGTCTGTTTCATGATCCTCCTGAAAACATATTCCTTCTAAATGAAATGTTTTTTCTTTCTAGAATGTTCCAAGTCTGTTAACAGGAAAACTATAGCCTAGATCCATACACAAACAACAAGAGAACAACTTTTAATAAATATATAAATTAAGTTTAGCTTGCTATTCAAGTATCTGAGAATTAAAATATTAAAATTCAATTCGTATAGGCCTACTTTTTTATTAAAATAATACTAATGTCAGACACTTAGACTGTTAGAGATGAAGGAACCTTCCAAATGTGCCCAAGACTCATTTTCTATCAAAGAAACACCAGCAAATGTCTATTATTGAAAGAAAAAAAAGTGGTCAGTAGTAATGTGGTTAAAAAGAAAGAGCTAAACTTACAAACTGCTAGGATGTTTGTCTTACGCAACAAGATTGATCTTTCTGGTTTAGTTTGCGTACAACTGAATATAAACGAAACGAAAACTATGATAAAATAAAAACCGGGAACGTGAAGTCTCATATTTCCGGAATATCATCAAATAATTTAATAAAAAAAAAAATAAGGAAAAAAAGGAAAGGTTTATTTTGTTTTAAATCGTAAGAGTAAATAATAAATTAAATATATTAATATCATATGCTTTGCTAAGAGAAGGTGAGATTTAAAAAAAAAACCCAAACACGTCAAACTGTTTTATAGGTATGATCACGTGATATACAGTAACTGAAAGACCGCGGGAAAGCATGTAAAATGCTTTTCGCAAGGAGAGTTAAGTATGGTGGGCAAATTATATATTATAACCAGTTCATGATGTTGATAATGATTAACTTCCATTTGATGTTTAACTTTACCAACAAAACTCAAAAAAAAGAGTAGTTGGCTCTCACCTGCATTTCGACTTTGTCCAATGCACACTTTACAAAAGTTGTGTCCCTTTGCAGGGTCAACCAAAAGGTCAAAAGTAAAGAAGCGACATTCTCCTGTTTATGCTACGATAAATCCACTGTGTTTAATTTTTTTGTTTCAAGGTATGGGTATAGACCGGCCCATCTGCAATCTGTGTACAAGATGCAAATATTTTTTCCGGTCAAATGACAGTTACATAAACCAGAAAATAACAAAAGCTAGCTAGCAGTACATGCTGCTAGTGTGAGGATTCTATGGGTTTTCCTCCATTGATGGCGGCCAGGGGACATAACTTTTGAAAAGTATGGATTCAACTATAACAATTAAGTATGTATACTAAAGCAAGGGGTAAATTTTAACAATCTCTGTTTTACAAGCTACAATCCAATCTCCTATGCAGAGTTGTCGTTCGTTCTTCTCTCAGACACCTCTGCAATGGGCTCACGTCAAGATTTTTGACATAACTTTAAAAACATAACATTTCAAGGATTATTTCAAATTAAAATTATAGTTTTATATCTATTTAGTAAATATCTATCTTTAAGGACTATCATTACCCCGACATTTAATTATAATGAATTAAAAGAAATGCACTATAATTTCTCGTGCTTATCACTGTGATATACGCGAGCCAACGACAGAGGTGAATGTATGACCCGATGGTAGAGAGTGGCTACAATCTTGAGTAAAATTTTGCAAATATAGAAAAAGGTAAATAATATGCATGTATACAAAATAATTTCTTTATTTACAAATACAAATATTTATTTGGCGCAAACACAATTACAGTAACTGTACAAATAGATCTAATTACCAAAGGGACAACATATATATTTTTAATGATAATTTTGAAAAGTTTGATTTCCCATCTTTTGCATCGGAAATAAGACTCCCTGTTTTTAAAAACATTACTACAAATTGAAGGAATGAAGTTTGAAAAATAATCTGCCACTCAAATGTTAGTTTATTGTTCATTCTATGAATTTGATGAAAAGTTAAAATAAGAATTTGGAATAACTTTTTTTTTACACAAAAGAAAGAAGTCATTAATGCAATGTTTATGAGTACTGGTATATTGTATTGCTCTTGTTATGCCCTCTCCTTCTGTCTAACTGTTTGGCAAAAAAAATTAACCTTGTATGGCCAATTAACTTTTGAGCGGTTGGTGCTATAATAGGGCTTTCTTTTTTCAGATTATATATGTGTATTCCTCTTGGCAAAACCTTTCTTTTGACCTCTTGTCCTTGGAATTTAACCTACTTTTGAAAAACTTTGACCAGACTTTAACCTGGCTTATAATATAACATTAAAACAGTTGATGTTAGGGCTTTCACATTTCACGTGTGTATTTCTTGTGACAAGACCTCTCTCTAGGTTGGTCAGGTAACCCACCGTAATCAAACATTTTTTTCTTGGGCTTAAGAATGAAAAGGTGAATGAATAAGCAAAGAAACGATGAAAAATCGTCTCGCCCAAGACTTGAACCTAGGGCCTTGGGTGAATCATGCCAGTAAACTAGCTACTGAACTATTGGGATCTGATGTATTGATTGATATTCACACTTCTGTTGACCTGGTTACATTTTCTCTCTTAGGCAGTAATTTGTCCTCAAATTTTGCAAAGGAGGGAGGGGTTGGTGGGTTGGGTTGTATGTCACAATCCAGAAGTTAGGTAACCATGCATGGCTCTACCTTATAGAGTATGGAACATTTCTTGTACACTGTGTGGCTTATAATATGTATACATGTAGCTTAAGGATCTCAGACCTTGTCAGTTGTGGCATCTTGAAAGGATAAAAAAAAGGTTCCCTGTGGCTTCATTTTGGGATTTTAAGGCTACCAGCATGAATATACTAGTATAATCAAATTATGTCAGGATTATATCTTGCACACTGTGAGGTCGTGGACCGTCAACTTGATGCATCTTGGGAACAGGTGGTGTGTCTTAATTGACCCTTAAAAACACAAGTTTTAGCTCACCTCAAAAAGTTTGGGGAGCTTATGTAATACCATCAGCATTGGCATCCCAGGTTCAGTTTTTGGAGTAGATTTCTTTTCCAAGTACTTTTCTGCCCTTTATTGATCAGAGATGCATGGAAGATGCTTCTAGTGTGTTTCATTGTACCGGTCAAGGTTTCAGATGCTGCAATTTCAGCTAAAGAATGACCAAGTTAATGTTTTTGGAGCAAGTTCAACAAATGTGTTGCGGTGATTCAGATCTGTTGCATTGGAAAAGTATGCCACCTGATTCAAGTACAATAGCAAACACAAACTGAAGGCAAAAAATCAAAATTTCACATAATTGTAACACTCATAGATAAACCTTCATACCATTTGTATGAATTTATGTTTAGACTTTTGAATTTATTAATTTTCAGCTCTTAAATTATTAATTATTCGGAACTGATCAAAATTCGGAACTGGTCAAACGACTGTAACTATAACCCTTTTATTGACCAAACTTGCATGGATGTTCCATCAAAGAATGCACACTACTAGATTTGCTTCGGATGCTGGGTATGACCTACATTTTCTGGTTGAGTGACCAAGTTAATGTTTTTGGAGCAGATCTCATTTCCAAGTAACTTAATAATAAGCCCTGTGTTGACCAAACTTGCATGGATGAAACTTCTTAGGATGCACACAACTGGACTTGCTTCGGATGCTGAATCTGACCTACATTTTCCAGATAAGTGACCAGGATAAGTTTTTGGAGCAGGTCCATTACCAAGAAACTATAGACCTGTCTGAACCAAAGTTGCAAGGATGATGCATCAAGGGATGAACACTCTCAAACTTGCTTCAGATGCTAGATTTGACTTACATTTTCTGGATGAGTTTTTAGCTCACCTGAGTCGAAGGCTCAAGTGAGCTTTTCTGATCGAAATTTGTCTGTTGTCTGTCGTCGTTGTCGGCGTTGTCGTTAACTTTTCACATTTTCATCTTCTTCTCAAAAACCACTGGGCCAGTTTCAACCAAACTTGCCACAAAGTATTCTTGGGTAAAGGGGATTCAAGTTTGTTCAAATGAAGGGCCACACCTTCTTCCAAGGGGAGATAATTATGAATTTGTGAAAAATTAATGGCATCATTTAAAAATCTTCTTCTCAAGAACCAATGGGCTTGAAAATATGAAACTTATATGGAAGCATCCTCAGGTAGTGTAGATTCAAGCTTGTTCAAATCATGACCTCCAGGGGTAGGGTGGGGCAACTATGGGCGATCAAAGTTTTACATAGGAATACAAAGGAAAAATCTTCAAAAATCTTCTTCTCAAGAACAATAAAGCTATGATTGGTCATATTTATATGGAAGCATCCTCAGGTAGTGTAGATTCAAATTTGTTCAAATCATGACCCCCAGGAGAACAGAGGGGCCATAACAGGGGATCATAGTCAAACAAAGGAATACAAATGATATATCAATTAAAATTGTCTTCTTAAGAACAGCAAAGCCATTATTTGTCATATTAATTCAAAAGCATCCCTATGAAGTATAGATTCAAATTAGTTCAAATCAACACCCCCCACCCCCTCGAACCACTTTTATATCAAAACTTTTCAAGACTGAACTGCATTCTGCTTTTTCCTAGCCAGAGTGCTCAGGTGAGTGATGTTGCCCTTGGGCCTCTTGTTTTACATAAGTCCATTCTCAAGTAACTTTTTTCAAGTCCTATCAGACCAAAGTTGCATAGATGTTGCATGTAGGGATGCTCAATACTAGATAATTAGTTTAATGTGGAACTTTGCCTTACTTAAAGCTGAACATGATTCGTAAAAGCAATGTGTCCGCCATTTTTGTTCGGATTCTCGCTATATCTGAGGACCCCTATATAAAGGGCCTGACTTGGACACTGTTCAGTATGATCAGTCGACACCGGTGTAGACGGACGTATGCTATACAGCACTCGGTAGCGACAAAAATAACTGTAATACCTCGTCTAATGCAGGAAAGTAAGATACAAAAGAAACTTACAATTATAGTTGTACAGTTCAGTAAAGTGTACAAACAAACACAGATACACGTAACTACAATAAAATGTAAACAAAGGTAATGCAAGATAACCAGCACGAACACGGGTCGCCATTCCACGCCGATACCCGTGACAATAAAACAGTCAGGTGTAACGAATGCGAAGAGTATACCCTGGTGTTGATGTATCGTAGATATAATATCGAAAATGGCGTATGCCTATTTACGAGTCGTGTTCAGCTTTAAGGACAATATTTGTTGAGATAAGCTCTGTAATCTCTGATTACCTATGTTTTTACTTGAGGAGATGGAGTGGTTTTAAAAGCACTGGTGTTGTTTACCTGAAGGGCCCCAATGCTCAAGATGCCAAAAATCCATATTCACAGATAATGATTTTTATGCCCCGCCATGAATATGGCCGGGGCATATAGGGTTTGTCATGTCCATCTTCTGTCCTTCTGTCTGTCCTTCAGTTGTGCTTTGCATTTAGCTCAATTCAAAGCTAAGTTTCAAAGAAACTGTTCAAGATATTTTTATCAAACTTATTATGCTGATACATATTTATGAGAGCTATTCAACTGCATCAACATTTTTTGAC